CTCCGGCTCCAGGCGGTAGAGAGCCGGGCTGGAGGCAAAGAGCTCACCGGGGAGGGTGGCCAGCGCGTTGTCTCGCAGGCTGAGTTCCCGCAAGCGGCCGAGGTGGCCAAAGGTGGCAGGGTGCAGGGCGGTCAGCGCGTTGCGGCTCAGATCCAGTGCCTCCAGGCTGCTCAGCGGCTCCAGCAGGGCAGTGGGCAGATGGCTCAGCAGGTTTCCCTCCAGGCGCAGCTCCTTCAGTGAACCCAGCCCCGTGAAGGCATCTGGGGCCAGGTGAGCCAGGCGGTTTCCACTGAGCGAGAGCTTTGCCAAGCCAGGCAGGTGCTGGAAAAGCCCCCCTGTCAGCTGTTGCAGGCTGTTGCTAGCCAGCAGCAGGGTGTGGAGGGAGCGCAGCGGCCCAAAGATGTCTGGGTGGCGAAGGGAGCTCTGCTGGTTCCCCGAGAGGTCGAGGAAGCGCAGCTTAGCCAGGCCAGCGAAGGCACCGCGGCTCAACCAGCGGATGCGGTTGGACTCCAGGTGTAGGTAGAGTAAGTTCGGCAGCCCTGAGAAAGTGGAGTCACCCAGCGAGCCCAGCTCGTTGCCATCCAGGCGCAGCTTGACAAGGCTGCCGAGGCCAGAGAAGGAGGCTGCGCTGAGGCGGCCGATCTCATTGGCGTTCACGTAGAGGATGCGCAGCTTGGCCAGGGCGCTGAGGGTTCCGGGGGCCAGTGCCGGCAGCAGGTTGTTGCCCAGGTAGAGTTCCTCCAGCCGACCCAGGCGCTCAAAGGCCTTGGGATGCAGCGAGCGGATCCGGTTGTACTGCAGGTCCAGGCGCTGGAGCCCTGCCAGGCGGTGGAAATCAAAAGCGGAGATGTTGGCAATGAAGTTGCCCCCGAGGCTGTAGGTGAGGATATCCTGGGGCTCGGCAGCCTTGGGCACCGAGCGCAGGCCCCGGTTGGTGCAGAGGAGGTGCTGGTGCTGCTGGCAGTCGCATGGCTCGGGACAGATGGGCTCGGCCGCGGGCAGCAGCAGGAGGAAGAGGGGGACGGAGCCCCAGAGTACCCGCGGCAGCACCATCAGGCGGACCCGGCGCGGCGCCCCCA